TAATGTATTGGGTTCTAATAGAACAACTAACAACAAGAAATGTCAATCGATATCTTTTATCCAACCTTATTTATGCTGTATAAAAATCAGCCGCATATTGTTTACTTGTTATTGTAGACTTTGGTCATGATGAGCGTTACGGTTACCGAAAGGAAAATAATTTGGTTTTAAAAAAAATCTCAACACTTGATAGTGTCCCATTGATCTGTAGTATAATATAGATATACTGATAAGATAAATACAAATTTATTAGAAACTTGAATAGCAAAACTCTGTTTCCTTACTAGTGCGCACAAATCGTCGGCATAATATTTTGTAATTCGAGATGATTATATCACATAATAATATACTCTTTTGGTATATGTTCGGTTAACATCAAACTGTTTTATTATAAACTCTTATTAGTTTACAAAACTCTTAATGGAATTGGTTATTTATTTAGTATAGTAGTTTTATTGAGAACAATATACGATATTTCATGCTTCTATTTCATTGAAACATGTTAACCGAAAATATTCACCATATTATTTTGTTTAAAAATAAACTCGTGCGCATTTTCTTTTAAATTACAATCCAATGTATAAGTAACAGAATGACACGCCTATTTTGTAAATAAATATACAATATATCTCGACGAATTTAAAAGTATTAGAAACGTTGACGTTTATCAAACATGAAATATTGTGGTTTTTGCAACAAAAAAAAAAAAATGAGAAAAAACTCAATTCCATTTTTATTTAAAATATACATATTTCAAATACTAACGATGTAATATTGACAGGGGTAACGAAATACTACTAACAACATACATATGTATACGTATATATCATCAATCATATTCTTATTGTATTGTACTTGTTACACTACTTCAAATATGTTATGTTAGTAAAATATTAAGAATGAACGAAAGTTAAATTTTGTATCGTTTAAAGCGAAATGGAATAATAAGCTTTACAATGAATTTCAAATGTTGCAGAATATAAACAAATGTCTAACAATAACATTGTTGGTGAAAGTGAAAAGGCAGACCAAAAAGCCAAGTAGACTTTGAAAGAAAATAGAACAATTATTCGTTTATAGGAAGCATATCTACCTAAACCCGAGAGTTTGCCTCCTGGAATTAGTCAATACATAGCAAATGTGTTAATAAAACGGCTTCCCGCTAGTGAAAATGATCTACAGGTGAAGGTAAACAGAATACGTCAAATAGGGCACACGAACAAATGGACCGAACGGGAGAACTAATAATGACACAACCTATAATACAATATTGAAATCATTGATTATACCCACAGCTAATTTATGCGTCGATAAGAACCTAAACAAACGACAGTAGACTGGTATGGTATTTTTGACAAGCGATACTTAATTTTTTTGATGCATTTTAATTACAGAATGATAAAATATCGAACTTTTCTCAAATTTCGAAGAAACTCTACCGAGAATTCCAACAAATCATTCCGGACGTACGAGCCCTTTGCTTAAGGAATTGTCCTTTTACTTCTAATGACATCCAAAATTAGGGCGTGTACGCTCCTTGAAATAATCTACTAAATCAAACAACCAGTCACAAAGCGAAATGTCTTTAACTCATAATTTCTTCAGTAAAACATATTTAGCCACTACGACAGACGAAGTGTGCGTTGTCCTCTAAATTTATAAAAGCCCTACTTATCATTTTACTTATTATATTATTTTTATTATATTATATTTTATGTGTATTAAATTGTATTGCCGCCTTGAAACACCACTGTGCTTGGTTTGCAGTGGTTTCATTTTTAGTATGTTAATTTTTTTCTTTATTAGGTTTTTTCTGTTTATGTTTAAAACTGTGCTTGGTAAAAAATTTGATAATTTTTAATTTTTAATGCATTACTGCGTAAAATAATAATGTGGCAATATCGAGTATAAATAATTTATTACAGATTGATTAAAGTTCATTAAATTATTTAATTATCAAAAAAATTAAATTATTTCATGATTGTTAGCCCTATTTTTCCGTGAACTTTCCTACATTCCTTTAAAAACATCTACTTCTTAAACTTTATTCATTTTTTTTATTAGTATAACACATTATATACCTACTATAGAAATATAGAACCAAAGATCGCCTATAATTTTAGTAGTTAATATAAATTGTTTTATATTTTAGCTTGTACTTAAGTGTCTGTTGTGGAAGAGCAACGTAATAAAATATATAATTATTCGCTTAGTTTTTATTCTTAGCCCAAACGAGCCGTGTAAACACTCAACAATATAAGTCGTCTTGATGCGATCAATTGCTCCGATCTAACTACTTATTAAACTGGTGTATTACTTATTACTAAGCATTTAGCTCTGTTTGAATATGAAAATGTGGAAAGTTAACAACACGCGACTTTTTGATAACTGCGCAAATAATCGTTAACGAACTTAATTTATGTATTTTTTAAGTATTTCCAACTACTAATAATTTCATTCGTCGGGTATTGTTTCAATTAAACATTATACGTATGTATTACAATTCATAAGGGTATAAAGGTCCCTTGAGTTAGTTAAGCCGATTACATGTTCTTTTAACATTGTTAATTTGGAATTTGTGTTTTTTTAAAGTTTTTACGGTTTAAAATGTTATTCGCAACTTGGCCATCTACAAAAGTCGAAAATATTGTTTTTTGGTCAATGTTGATTAATATCACGTTGTACAATGTTATAAGGGTTAAACCGAATTAATAACGTTCTTGAAAAAACATGCATTATAGTGCTTGTATAAATGAAACGCCGTTCTATTGCATTAGTATAGCCGGCGCAATCGCTAATCCCAGTATTATAGGATTTGATATCCGGGAACATATTAATGAGTATAACCTATACGCCAAAATCCTGGTGACAACCTAAAGCGTGAAGAAGACTAATAGATCGTGCTAAGTGTAGTGGAAGATAACGCCGCCAACCATCGGAAACTATTTCAAGGTCCGCAGAGGGGCGGTTATACCTTTTGTGTAATTGTTTAAAAGCTAAAGGTAATCTGATCATAATAAGATACAAAAAAAAAAAGCCTAAAAAGAAGACCACCGAAGAAAATGCTATTTAATTATATTAATTATATAATAGCCGCTCAATTTTATAACGATAAAAAATAAATGGTTTATTTAAATGTATAATACAATTATGGTTTTCGTAATAAAATAAAATAATATTTTAAAAGTTTTCTTCACTTACAAAAATTGTTCGTTCAATAACGACACGAAAAACTTCCGACTTGTACGCCTCATTATTTTTTTAAAAGTGATATTTTTTATTTTAAACTTTACCTTATTAAGAATAATTACAATCTATACATTATGTACAATAAGTAATTTTGTAAAACCTTTTTTTGACGCGATATTAAAAACAATTTTTTGTCTTTTGTAAAGTATAATAAATGTTTATTTCTTAATTTAATATTTAAAGCCGACATAACTCCAATTACGTTGTAACTTTTGTAAAAAGTAATACATCATGCGGGCTGTATTACATTGCATTATAATATATAGCATTAACTGGCACAAAGTACCTATCCACTTTCTTGCTCTTCCCAAGTGCCGGATCAGCAGTATACGAATACATCCTATTTGATTTATTATGTTTATTTCCCATTTGTATAAAAATGTTTATATTCATATGTCTCCGTTCTTCTAAGAGATTAGAATTCGGTGGTTGTAACTCAACGTTGTAGTGACAAAACTAAAAAAAAAAAAAAACGTTGTCGCCGTGGAAGCGATTTGACAAATTAACACATTTTTTTCAGAGATAAGAAAACTTCATAATATACACGTGAACTGTGTGTTGAGTATAATAAAATACACGTGAAAATATTTAATTAAACAATAAAACAATAGTTCAATTTAATTATATTCGATTATTCGTGTTCGATAATTATTTAAATTATGTCACACAATGAAATCATGAAAAAAATGTCACACATATTTTAAAAATCTCAATATTCTTTACAACAAGATATAACTTAAAATAAACTTAACGGCTTAGGAAGATTTTCGAGTTTTCTGATTATAATTTCACTTGAAACAAAAATAAAAATAAAATTACAATTTATTTTTATTTTTAAGACGTTACCAAAAGTTGAAAAATTGCAAAAAAAAAAAATGTTTAGTTTTAATCTCAGAAATATTCAAACAAGATTAATTGTGTCGCGTCGTTCTTTATAAATATTTTCCAAGAATTAAATTAAAATTTGGTCGCAAGTGTCATATTTTTTACATGTTAAAGCCAAATACTGCAGTAGTAGTAGTATTTTTAAAAATATTCTATTGAAATTTAATTACTTGAAGTACTTATAATATAACTTGTATAAAGATACAGTTACTCTTTTCCCCAAGCACATTTGTATATGTCGTTGTTTCTGTTTTGAGACAATTTAAAAATATTATTTTCTGTAAATAATAAGTACAAAAGTTTACGATACATTTTTTGTTATATATTCAATATAAATCAATATAAAGTATTTACAGAGAGACTTTTAAAATATAATATAAATTTATAATAATTATCTTACGACACTGGAATTTCTATTGTTTCTTGACAAAACTATATTCATGTAAAATTAAAAAAAAGTATAAAAGTAAACTAATGTCTTCCAAACGATGAAGTGTAAATTAAATTCATCAAAAATATCGTAAAAATTATTTAAAACTATGTTTTGGCCTTAAACAGATTAAATCGTTTTAATTGCATTTCTACATTTTTTTTTGTACTAAAAGGTGGTTTATAAGAAAAATTGTATGACCAAATTATTAACAGTCAAATATTCTATTTATAGAATAAAAACGTATAATTATCAAATTATACTTAAATAATAATTTGTAAAAATTTAATTTTAAATTAATTTATGCGTATAATATTTTTTTTGTAATAAAGCATACTTTTTATTAAAATGATCAAATCATGCATAACACACTACTGTATAAGTACTTACATTATATACCAATATTTAAAAAATAATTACAAATTTATTTTCTTACTGTGATTGTTTGAATGTGTCCTGTGGCTGGAAAGAAAGGTTGCCTTTGCGGCAAAATGATGAGAGCGTTTTAGCCAGCAAATCGTATTTTCGTCATATTTTAATATGGAATTATTGTTATTTTTCTTCAAAACGTTTTTATTTTATTTCCCATTGATGTTTGGTGGTTTATTCATTACTGATAAAACCGAGCTCTGTAAAAATAATATTACAAAAAAAAAAATTAATATGCAATTATCTCGAATTGATAATGTTTAATTATTAAATAATCATTGAATTTATTGTTTATTTAATACGTTTGATCATATTTATAAGACTTATAATAATACGATGTACAAGATAGTCCGTCTAATGTAAAACACTCATTTCGAAAATTATTTGTTTTAAAACTTTAATCCAATTTTTTTATTTTTGTCCCTTTTACGTAAAATAAGTATGAACTTTGTTTTATCAAATGTGAACATTCGTTTTTAATTTCATAAATATGTAGAAAAAAAATTTAAGCGTTTTAATTTTTATCAATCTGTTTGTTTGCTATGACTGCAATGAAATTACATTTCCTCTTATAATAATTGTCATATCGGTTTTCCAAAATTCATGTTTATGTTCGCATTGTCCGACAGACGAGAACACCGATAACAAGACACAATGAAATATTTTGAGATAATGATAGACAAACGGTTGTTATATACCTATTCAAACACAGTGACAGTGATTGTGTTATCGACGGGGTTCAATATTACTTAATGGAAAATTGTTGTGCCATTGTTGTAAAAAACGAACCGATTATCGAAATTCAAATCTTTACAAAGTTATATCAAACGAACAGATTGATAAAAATGCATACGCTAAAATGTTTTAAAATTTTTGTCTACATATTTATGGAATTAAAAACACATATTCCCATTTGCAAAAACGAAGTCCATACTACTTTTACGTATAAGGGACGAAGATGCAAATAAGTAATTAATATTATTAATAAATACTGTAAAATAAGCTGTAAATATACCTACAATTATGTTTTCCGAGAAAACGAGTGTCTTATATCGGATGGATCACCTGTATGGCTGCATATGAACTAAGTTCCATTCATTAAACCGTATAAAATAAAGATAGTATTGATAAACAATAAAACTATTTGTTTTCAAACTTTTCCGATCATCCCAAAATGTGTCTTTATTTTTAAATTGTTGTAGGCAACAACAGCAAAAGCAATTCACTGGCAAAACTTCAGTTCGGTTGCCGTTTAAAAAAAATAATCTGAATACTTTGTCTACGATGCTTTTGGCAAAATGAACAAACTACCTAAAACCTATTATTTACCAACCATCTGTATCTACTTTAATTATACAGTGAATAATATATTTTATAAATTACACGGATGATTTACAGAAACTACAAGCAGTATAATGTTAATTAATTTAAGATAAGATAGAAAAAAATTCAAAGCTTAGAGAATAAGAAGAATATATATTATGAAAACTTAATTGGATAAAACACTGGTGGGAGGGTAGAGCGTTTACAGTGAAGGTTAAGAATTTTAACACTGAGCAGTCTACTTTTGAAGTGGATAAAAAAGGAAACTGATTGTATTTTCTAACTTTAAAAAAAAACGTTGATTTTAATATCGCTAGGAGTATAATATGATGTAAAGTATAAACCAATTTTTCTCTTATTACACAAAATAATGAGCACTTATTATTAATACATTTCAAACAAAAAATGTAATAATTTGTGTTTATTTATAAAAATAACTGAAAAATGAAAACTTTATTGAAAGCTGTAGCTAGTTATTCCAAGTTAAAGATGATTTAGGCCAAGCAGATATTATTTTCTCATTTAATCGTTTTTTCTTTCCGATTTTTGATAGGCTTCAAATCCATTTATATCAGTATTTTTTGTTTTTTCTATATAGTTTCGAACACAATAACAAAACGGTTTTAACGAATCACCATCGCGTTTACTGATAGATGGCCTCTAGCGACCACTCGGTGGCAGTCGTTTCTAACCAACAGGCGTACATTTTTTAGCATATTTTAGTGACCGCCGTAAGAAAACGAGCAACCCAAAGACAGTAAATCGACAGAATTATCGTCCTGAAGGCAACGTCAAGCGACAAACGACAATTAAAAGGTGCTATTTGTCTTAATGCTGCGCTGGCGTGCGCCAAATGCGTGACCTCTATGCTTAGCCTAAGGATAGTAAACTTTAAGCGACAGACTTACAAAAACGTTTCATAATTGGCTCCCTAAATGCATTTAAGAAATACGGGAAACTTTTCAAATTAACTTCTCAATTTCGTATTATCACACTTAGATTTTTGGCTATTAAAAACTACATTTTCGTCGTGAATTCGTTGTTCCGCTGAAAACATTAAAACAACAAGACTGTATATTATTTGTTAACATTAAATTTTCCGGATCGAGTGTTGAGGGGAAAACAGTTTTTAAAATAAAGCCCAAATAATTTAACGCATGTAGAAAATAATAATATACATCTAATTTGGTTCGCGATAATTTCGCCTTGTAAGTGTAATTATTATAACAAAAAATGTACCGTTCATAAAAAAATTTAAAAAACCGTCCTTGTGAATTGTATATGTTTGAATTTAGGTATTATGGTAGAAACGACTCCTACACAACTGAACTGTCATATAATTCTGATAATATTATTTCACCGACTTTTATACCACTACATTATTGAAGACCTATCTATAAACGACAATAGAGCCGAACCAACTGAGCAAGGTCATCGTTAAAGCACAATAGTTTTGCTACTGTGCACTTGGACTATCCGTGTGACATTAATTATTTATTTATATTTATATCGCTGTGTTCGCCGCCTATTCTGACGATTATTTAATCGCAATGTTATTTTATTATTTTTTTTTTTTTTTAATAAAAACAACAAACTCGGTCGCCGTGGATTATAAAATGTTTAAATATGAACCGTACGGCGCTTAAACAAATTAAACCACCGCGTCAACAACGCGGATCGCGATTCGCCTTACTTATTTTCGGTAAAACTGTCCGCTTTTGGAATACAAATCGTTCGTAGCTTGTCGTTCAGCCTCACTGCGACAGCTGACAGCGCCAAGTGACAGTCCACAGTGCGTGTCAAGGGTGTTCATTTTTTTCTCTCCTCACAATACACAAAGACGCACTTCTCGCAAACACAATAAATCCACTCGTAAGGGTTACAAATTTGAAAAAATTTTCCCAATCGGTGGCCGCCAAAGTCTCTAAACACTACTCGCACAAATTCATAAACGTGACGGTTCAAATGCAGCAGTTTGGTTGGGTCGACCTCAACACAAAAATCCCATCAGCGCATCGGCAATCGCAAAGAGTTATTCTAAGTTTAATCGGCATCCGTGTAGTTATAACGTTAAAGTAAATAGTTGGTCGGTCGACTGGCTCTCGAACACCGAGAATAGACAATTTCTCACTAGTGTTGTACATAGCTGATAGCGTTGCCTTGGCGTTGAGGAAAGAGACACGTGTAACGAACCGAAAAATAAGACAATGTGTCTGGTTTACTACCAGGAACAAATAACTCTGCAATAGAAACTTTTTCGAATTTCTTGGAATTCATCACTTGCCGGGTGACTGCTTCTACTTGCCTTTCTTATACATACAAGTTAGCGAGTTGCTGCAGGTTGTTGCAGTATTATCAAGGATCCAAGTTTAACTTGCACACTTTTTAATTCAATGGCTTTTTCGTTAGCATAACACATGACGGTATTCTCGGGCGACGATTATTTGTGTTTCATTAAAGTAATGTTGTGGCCTTTTTGTACCATAGTAATATGTTACATGCTCTCGAGTCAGTATATTGCTCTTTTCGTTTGCATTATGTACGAGTCACGGTTGACCTAGGAAACTATATAGATAATGGTGCACTGCTGGCCTCTGCAACTCAAGTGTTTGTCATTTGGACTCAAAAATAGTTTCGGGCTTTTTACTAGTAGAAAATAACGTCCTTGTCTTACTGTTGTCTGGTTATATTTTAAATGAATCTGTAACTTCGTGTTGTTTGATAATTATTCATAACTGCATTGGAATTTTGATCTCACTACTCTTTACCAGGAATTACTCATTCACGGTGTATTGAACGTCTTCTTCTTCACATTATCCCAGACAAACGGCGTATGCCAAAAAAATCCTTTATTTCTCTACAAATACTTTTCCATCATCAACTCTTCACTATATACATTCGTGTGTTTGTTTTTAGTACCTATCGACTTTTTCTTCGGTCTATCACTATTCCTAAATACCTCTACGCTAATTAATTTAATACTTTAACATGTTTTTCCATTTTATTATCCTCCCTTATTTTAACGTGTCCAGATTATCTCAATGTATTCTCTATTATTTAGCCTTAGGCACAATTCACAAACCTTAAAAACTCATTATTTTTTTCGTTGGTTATAATGTCGCATATTATTCTCATTTCGATCAAACAATGACTTAAATCAATTGACTCGCACTTAAATTTGAACTTTGGCGTTTAGAACTTTAGCGTTTGGTTAATCTTCCGTGAACCACTCTATAATATCCTCGGATAATATGGTTTCCAAAGTCTTAGAAACCGTTAATCTAGTGGGAGGTTATTTTTCACCATTGACACACAATTAAGTTTTATTGATAGCTATAGTTTCAGTGTACATATAGAATGGCAGACAAATAATTAATTAATACATCTAAAGTATTTATATAGTTAGTTGTACTGAACACTGTTTATCGCGGGCAAATGGCATAGCATAGGAATTGGCCTTTCAAAACACTTCGCCGCACAGTATTAAGTTATTAACTTCAAGTGTTTACCCCGCTAATAACTTCTCTGTATGATTGTGTGGTATCCATAGATATATACAATTTTTTTATGGTTATATATTATATTGTGCGGTAATTCTACAACTTGTTTTGCACAGTTGGACATACGTAATCAAATATAGAAACAATCATACAGACTTTGATTTACGGGTTTTAACGCAATAAGATAGTTACAATTTTGCCTTATAGTAGATTAATAGACCAAACTGGCATAGCCAAATAACAAGATGACCGCAAATTGTGCCATTTTAGTCAACTTCTACGTACTTACAAGAAAACGCTATTTAAGTTTTGAACACACTCGACCATCGCATAGTTGCTATCAAACGACCGAATTAAGAGATAACGACGCGATTGTC